ACTTGTCTTCTGATCGTTAAACTGATTCTCTCGCCCTCTCTCGGCGCAGCCCTCGGGAGACTCGGTCACGCTCTCCGAGAGCACAGCCATCATCTCCCACGGCACCACGGGCCTGGTCACATGGGACGCTGCCCTCTACCTTGCAGAATGGGCCATCAAGAACCCGGCAGCCTTCACTGACAGGTGACCTCGGGGCACAGGGCGGGGCACCAAGGCAGGCTTACCCTGGTGCAGTCGCAGACACGGTCCGCTTTCCTTCTGCCAGGACTGTCCTAGAGCTTGGCAGTGGCGCCGGCCTCACAGGCCTGGCCATCTGCAAGATGTGCCGCCCCCGGGCATACATCTTCAGCGATTGTCACAGCCGGGTCCTCGAGCAGCTCCGAGGGAATGTCCTTCTCAATGGCCTCTCGTTAGAGGCAGACATCACTGCCAACTTAGACAGCCCCAGGGTGACAGTGGCCCAGCTGGACTGGGACGTCACGACGATCCGTCAGCTCTCTGCCTTCCAGCCAGATGTTGTCATCGCGGCAGGTAATGCCCAGCCCCGGGCACCCTGCGCAGGCGGTGTCCTTGCAGCTCCACCCAGCTCTTGGCTCTGGGAAAAGGGAACAAGGGACGCTGTCGGGCATGGACATGATGGGGCTTCCAGAAGAGTTACTCTGGGCCTCCAGGGTGACATCAAAGGACAGGGGTGCCTCTTCAGGTGACCTTGAAGCCACAGCCCTCTTGTTGGGGACAGGCATATTCCCGTTACAGTCGTCACCACATGGCTGTGTCCCAGAGCCATGCCCTGTGTCCTTCAGAGACCACAGGAGGAAAACAACCACTTTTGGGACAAGGACAGGGCCCGTGAGAGAAGGTGGTGGTTGGCTGGGCCACCAAAAACCCCTCGCCCCTGACAGCACACTCAGTCCCCTCTCTGGTCGAACAGAGCTCGGCCTGTGACCCTGGGTCCCAGCCCTGAAACCACAGGCCAGGGACACAGGCCCTCCCCTGCAAGCCAGCACACAAATCGGCAGACGCATGAAACACGACGTTCACACCAGGGTCAGGCTTTGCGTCATTCAAAGCCCTCTAGATAGGCTGAGAACCAGAGCTGTTTTTTAAGGAACACCAGTGAGTCTGGAGACTTTTTTCTTTTGCTTTGGTCTTTTGCAGCTTTCTCTACTAAGGGTTCTCCTTTTTCACCCGGGTAATTGCGTTTCCATCTAATGGCACAAATGGTCAAATGGCATCTAATAGTCTCATATAACTGCTGCCTCTCTGGTCTCGCCCTGCGGCTGAGGTCAGCATGACCTGGAACGTTCCGCTGGTCCCTTTCAGTAACCTGAAGCTTTCACTGTAGATGTGCTGTATTGTCCAGAAGCCATCATGTCGCTGGTCGGGGTCCTGAGGAGGCTGGCTGCCTGCCGGGAGCACCAGCGGGCTCCTGAGGTCTACGTGGCCTTCACCGTCCGCAACCCAGAGACATGCCAGCTGTTCACCACCGAACTAGGTGAGCCCCCACGCCCGCCTGGGCCTGCAAGGTCCCCAAGCTGTCCCTGCAAGACTCCAGTGGAAGTGAAAGAACTTGGCACCGGGGAAAAGTTAGGATGCCCCACACCCCCACGCCATGCGGGGAACTTGGGCAGAGGCTGGCGAGCAGGGTGGGCTCAGGGCATGGGGGGGCTTGGGGCAGGAGGAGGGCAGCTCAGCACAGGGAGGGAGGGTCTGAGCCCAGCAGCCCTACTGTGTGCTTCAGAGCAGAGTTCCCTAAGCCCTTGGGCCTCGGTTTCCTCATCTATAAAATGGAGGTGGCGGGAGAGGCAGTCGGGGTCAGGGCTGGACACAACTGTGGTCTGCAGGATGCTGGAGCACAGGCTGTACAGGCAGATCCACCACGCCACTGTCCTGAGCACCCAGTCAGTGGAGGACGAGCAGGGTGACTACAGAGAAGGGGAACTGGCCCCGCAGTGGGCCAGTCACTGTCCTCAGAACTGACATTTGTCAGCCCCCAGCACCTGTGAGGGTGTGCTGTCATTGTCCCATCTAACAGACACTAGGGCACACGGAGGTCAGGCGACCCCCGAGCTCCCGCAGACTGCAGCCCGGCCGCCTGGCTCCCGCGCCTCCACACTACACCCATGCCCCCCAGTGCCACCAGCCTTTGCCCCAGCTCCCCCTGAGCAGAGCCCCTCCTGGCAACCGTGTGCACAGATGCACCCGCAGCAGCCTCTGCCTGCACACAGAGACACAGACGACCCAACGTCTGTCCACATGGGGAGCCTGTTAACTACAGAGCCAACAAACAAGCCAGCACACGAAGGCACACTGGGTTCCACGAGAGTCCCACACGACCGCGCACAGGAGGCTGGCCAGGCACGGGGCTCAGGCCTGTCCTCCCAGCACTTCAGAAGGCTAAGGCAGGAGGACTCCCTGACCCCAGGCATCCAAGACCAACCTGGGCAACATAGTGGGACCCCATCCCCACAAAACATACCAAAACTAGCCGGGCATGTTGCACACGCCTGTGGTCCCAGCTACTCGGGAGGCTGAGGTGGGAGGGTGGCTTGAGCCCGTGGGGTGGAGGCTGCAGTGAGCCGTGATCTCACCACTGCACTCCAGTCTGGGCAACAGAGCAACACCCTGTCTCAAAAAAGCAAAAAAAAAAAAAAAAAGGAAGTCTTTCTTCAGATACTTACGTGAAAAAAATACCTGCAATATGGTTTAAGTGAAAATAGCAGTGCCAAACAGCACATATAGTATAAGCCCCCACCCACCTTTTTTTTTTTTTTGAGACAGAGTCTGGCTTTGTATTGCCCAGGCTGGAGTGCAATGGTGCCATCTCGGCCCACTGGCACCTCCCACCTCCCAGGTACAAGCTATCCTCCCATCTCAGCCTCCTGAGTAGCTGGGACTACAGGCGCGTGCTACCACACCCAGCTAATTTTTGTATTTTTTTGTAGAATCGAGGTTTTGCCATGTTGGCCAGGCTGGTCTCGAACTCTTGACCTCAAGTGATCTGCCACCTCAGCCTCCCAAAGTGTTAGGATTACAGGCATGAGCCACGGTGCCCAGCCCCATTTTTGTTTAAAAAATAATAATAATCACCCACACATGGTTGTGAGTACCCATATTCCCAACTACACAGGAGGCTGAGGCAGGAGGATGGCTTAAGCCCAGGAGTTTGTGGCCACCTTGAGCAACATAGCAAGACTTCATCTCAAAAAAGCATTTATCACAATAATCATTTTCACATTAGTAGACCTATAGAGGAAAACCTAGAATATATATATGGCAGGCTTGTCCAATCTGCAGCCCAACACAAATCTGTAAACTTTCTTAAAATAGTATGAGGTTTTTTTGTGATTTGTTTTTCTTTTAGTTCATCAGCTATTGCTAGCGTTAGTGTATTTTATGTGTGGCCCAAGGCAATTCTTCCTCTTCCAGTGTGGCCCAGGGAGGCCAAAAGATTGGACATCCCTGATATACACGTTAACAGAAGGATGATAGAGACTTCTACACGTTCACGTCTGTACTACTTCATTTTTATAAATACGCATTTTCCACTCGTAACAAAAAACTGTAAATGAAAATCATCCCGGGTCACAGCATCTCACGCCTGTAATCCCAACACTGTAAGAGGCTGCGGCTTTGGGAGGCTGAGGTGGGCGGATCACCTGAGGTCAAGAGTTCAAGACCAGCCTGCCCAACACAGTGAAACCCCATCTCTACTAAAAACAAAAATTAGCCAGGCGTGGTGGTGCACGCCTATAATCCCAGCTACTCGGGAGGCTGAGGCAGGAGAATCACTTGAACCTGGGAGGCAGAGGTTGCAGTGAGCTGAGATTGCGCCCCTGCACTCCAGCCTGGGGAACAGAGTAAAACTCCATCTCAAAAAAATAAAAGAGGCTGAGGCAGGAGCATCACTTGCGGCCATGTGTTCAGGACCCCATCTCTACAAAATAAAAAAACTACCGGCATGGCAGCGCGCACCTGTCATCCCAGCTGCTTGGGAGGTGGGAGGATTGCTAGAGCCTAGGAGTCGAGGCTGTGGTGAGCAATGACCGTGCCACTGCACTCCAGCCTGGGTGACACAACAAGATCGTATCTCAAAAAAAAAAAAAAGCAAAAATCACTCTGGCTACTGGCTCTTCAGGCATCTGTGCTTATCAGAACACCAGCCCCTTCTAAGCTTTGTGTGTGTGTGGTTTTGTTTTTTGGGGTTTTTTTTGTTTTTGTTTTTTTGTTTTCTTGAGATGGAGGCTTGCTCTGTCACTCAGGCTGGAGTGCAGTGGCACAATCTCGGCTCACTGCAACCTCCGCCTCCCGGGTGCAAGTGATTCTCCCGCCTCAGCCTCCTGAGTAGCTGGGATTACAGGCACCCGCCATCATACCTGGCTGATTTTTGTATTTTTGTAGAGATGGGGTTTCACCATGTTGGCCAGGCTGGTCTCGAACTCCTGACCTCAGGTGATCCGCCTGCCTCGGCCTCCCAAAGTGTTGGGATTACAGGCGTCAGCCACTGTGCCTGGCCGCTTTCTAAGCTTTGTGAAGAGTGGATTGACTGAGCAGCCAGGTAGATGTGGATTCAGATCTCTGCTTCTGTCCCACTATGCCACGCGCTGGGGCAGACACGGGCAGAGTGTGGAGCGCGGCACGGTGCCTGCTGCTAGCCACTTCTATGCAAAACCAGATTTTTGCTCCCATCCTGGAGGCCAATTCTAGGTACTTGGGTGGGCCTGGGAACCTGTGAACCAAGTAACCTGACTTGGACACCCCCCCACCCCGCCAGGCCTGTTCTAGCAGCCCCACACAGTAAGCTAATGTCCTGTCCTGAAACACCGCCATCCTGCAACACATGTGCTCTGTTTCCAGGCCGGGCCGGGATCAGATGGGAGGCCCAACCTCGTCATGACCAGAAGCTGTTTCCCTACGAGGAGCACTTGGAAATGGCAATTCTGAACCTCACACTGTAGGCCTCACACACGCCTTCCAACGTGACTGTGAGAATCAAGTCACTATCGTGGGAAGAATTTTTATATGGGAAAGCGGATAAAACTTTCAGTGGACTGGAATGTTTGAAGAATGTTCAATTCCAAACCAGGAACCACAAACTGCCCTCTAATAAGACATTGGCTGTCTAAGCGTGGGGGTGCCCCCTTTCTCCCAGCAGTTCTGGTTCTTAAGAAAATCACCATAAATCAGACGTGAACATTCTGGCTCCAAAAATAGCATTTTCTTTGCGCAAATAAAAACGTATGTATCAAGTATGATGTCCCCCAACGTGGACACACTCGGCTCCTCACAAAGCCAAGCCCGCTGCAGCTGCCACATCCCTGGGCTTACGGTGCAGCAGGTGCTTTTTTTCAAGACAGGAATCAAAACGTTAGGAACACGGCAGAAAGGCGACACCTGCAGACCAAACACAGGAGGAGGAGTCCTGCAGAGGTCATGGGGAAGTCACAGAACAGTAATATGCTAGCAGGGGCATGGGGCGTGAAGAACAGAAGAGAGGAAATGTTTCTGAGCCTCCAAAGAAGAAATCAGGGCCAACCACAGCTTCCGGGGTCCCAACCAATTCATTCACCAGGCGGCACCACTGCCGTCATTTCAGCTACTGGCCACTGGGAGGCGCTGCTTGAAAGGGTTTGCCCTGAGACTCCCAAGAAGCTGTAGGGAGGGCAGCCGGGGTCCTGGGGTTTTAGCCTCTGGCCCAGGAGTCATGTGTCCATAACCAAAGGCAGCACAGTCTGCACCCAGCTCTCATCCCATCGGAGCTGCTCCGACTCCCGCAGGTTCTTCCGGAACTGGTTTAGCTTGCCCGCAGGATCAGGGAAGTTTGAGAAAAGCATCTGCGAAAAAATAAAGAGCAGAGCTTACCTCATTGCCTGTCCCCACCCCATCCCAGGTCCCTGACCCAGCAACACCCCCTCCCCAGCCCCTAACTCCCTCACTTGGACCCGAGACCCTTCATGCCCCAGCAGCGCTCCGCCTCCACCTTGACATCACGCTTTCTGGAAACTTTCCCACATATCCCACTTTCCCACACTTGGTGCCCTGGAGCACCTCCCAGCCTCTATATGCTGTGACTTCCCCTGGAGCACCCTCCTCTCGGCCTCTGGCCAACACAGTCCCATGCATCTGTGCGTAACAAGGGGGTGTCAGTGTTCTTTTCAGCCTCGCTAAACTGTCTGAATCAAGGATCACAAACTACAGCCTGCAGGCCAAATCCAGCCCACAGCCTGTCTGTAAATAAAGTTTTATTGGAACAAAGCCACACCCCTTCATCTACAGATGATCTGTGGCTACTTTCACACCACAGCAGAGTCCCATGGTTCTGACAGAGACTGGGGGACCCAGTCTAAATGACTTCCGACCTGGACCTTTACTGAAAATCCTGCCAATCATTCTGTTGGCAAGAAATGATGTGTTACTTTTTGCAACAAGAAACAAGTAACCTCTGCAGAATTCCACTCATCTTTGAAGGCTGGTCCCAGAAGCTCCCTTTGCCCGCCTACCTGATCCTGATCACTTCCTGAACTGCAGCCCGGCCCACCGGCTCCAGCATCATTTGTGGAGTGTCAGCTCCATAAATCCAGAGGGCAGGTTGGGGGGTGTGTCCTAACTTTCCCCAGCCTACTGTACCAAAATGGGACAGCAGAGTAGGCTGGCCTCTGACCTCTGCTCCCTCCCTAGCTTTTCCGCCAGACCCCACATGGTCCCACCCTGGCTGTGGGAAGCAGGAATCAGGGAGCGTGGCCTGGTGCCAGTCTCCAGAACCCTCCCCACCCTGGCATGTGGCAGACATGGCTACCTGCAGCTGAGCTGCCAGTTCCTCGGAGTCCTCAAAGACTAGGCCGTTTTCTTCATGCTTCACCAGCTCATGTAAACTGCAGGGAGAACCAAGGGAGCCTCAGAGCTGCCTGCACAAGACACCAGACCCTGGGGTGCCCACCTGGGCTCCCACCCCCCCATGCTCAGGCCATGCTGGGGGTGTGGTTTCCGGGAGCTAGTTCTGAGATCTGGCATCTGAAGGGTAGAAAGGCTGGGAGGGTTGCACATCAAAATGGCCAAACCGATTTAAGGAGGGAGCCTTAAGGAGGGTTTGTACCTTCTATGCTGGATGCTCTTCACGGACTGGAGAATTATTTTTGCATGCTTTTCTTAACTCCATGGCCATGGAACAAGGAAAGGCAACCCCCTGGGGACTGGCTCAGCACATAAAAGATGACTTTCCTAGGGTACCAGGTATGATCCCCACATTTCCCTGAGCTCAGCTCACATGAGGGGCGCATATCCCTGAATCCCATCCAGGGGCCAGCTCCTGAGCAGGGGCCAAGGACTCAGCTTGCGCGGGGCTACTACTTCTAGAATCTCTTCTAACGCCGCCCTTCCAAACGCCCGTCTGTGCTGGGTGGAGTGAGGCCAGAGCATGACACTCATTTAGCTGATTCAAACCCACCATGTGAGCTTGGCCAAAAGGGACATGGCGGGAGAGAAACAAAGAAAACCATGTAAGCCTGCAGGCAATTCCTGCCAATTCCACTCTAGGAGCAAAAGCCCCAAGTGGAGTTCTAGTATTTAAGATGCTTTTTTTTCATAGTAAGTTGGTGCAAAAGTAATTGCCATTTTTAGTGGCAAAAACCGTGATTACTTTTGCATCAACCTGAATGTAACACGAGCTCTAAATGGAAGCAACGACTTCAGTGAGGCTCAAGCCCAGCCACAGTAACCGCAGGGCTCCTCCTAGTGGCCTCCAGTGTGTGCTGCACTGACCGACGGGCAGGGCCTCACTGTGGGCAGCTTGCTCTGCACTGCGTCCCCCTCAGTGGTGGATCTGCCAAGCTATCCCCAGAAAAAGTCGGGTTCTGCTCCTACCACTTGAAGTTCACGGCACACACAGGCAAACAGCACCCAAACATGTCCACCACCTTCATGGGCAGGTCCAGGCCACTGGAGGACGTGTGCAGACAGACACCCAGGTCTGCCGACCCTGCTAGGCAAGAGGGGTGCGGTCAGAGCGCTGGCCTCTGCCCTGGGAACACAGATCCTCCCAGCACAGTGAGGCAACACCCCCCAAGGGGAGTGAAAATCGGAAAAGGTCCCCGACAGCCCCAAACACAAGTGGCTTAAGCTGGCCAAGCAGCCACACAGCCTGGCTGGGACATCTGAAAATGTAAGTTGACACTTTTTCTACGTAACCACAATTTGGTTTTTTTGTTGTTGTTTTGTTTTGTTTTGAGACAGTCTCACTCTGTCACCCAGGCTGGAGTGCAGTGGCACAATCTTGGCTCACTGCAACCTCCACCTCCCAGGTTCACCTCCCACCTGTAATCCCCGCATTTTGGGAGGCCAAGGTGGGCGGATCACCTGAGGTCAGGAGTTCAAGACCAGCCTGGCCAACATGGTGAAACCCCATCTCTACTAAAAAAAATACAAAATTAGCCGAGCGTCGTGGCAGGTGCCTGTAATCCCAGCTACTCGGGAGGCTGAGGCAGGAGAATCGCTTGAACCCGGGAAGGCGGAGGTAGAGATGAGCCAAGATCGCACCATTGCACTCCAGCCTGGGCTACGACAGTGAAACTCCGTCTCAAAATAATAATAATAATAATAAACCACAGCACACCCACCACAAACCAGCTGTCACTGTGAAAATAAAGCCAAACAGCTTAACATTTCTAAAGACTAGCCCAGCACTTAGGGAGGCCAAGGCAGGAGGATCACTTGAGGTCAGGAGTTCGAGACCAGTGTGGCCAACATGGTGAAACCCTGTCTCGACTAAAAATACAAAACTAAGCCAGGTGTTGTGGCGGTCTCCTGTAATCCTGTAATCTACTCAGGAAGCTGAGGTGGGAGAATCGCTTGAACCCAGGAGGCGGAGGTTGCATGAACTGAGATCATGCATTCCAGCATAGGCGACGGAGCGAAACTGTCTAAAAAAAAGACCAGCTAGAGAGTCCTGCCAGGAAAAGGCCCTCAGACTCCAACTGCTCTGTTCACTCAAGGCTGGAAGATGCGGCTCTAGAGACACATCAGGACCAAGCCGACTCCCCACTTGGAGAAATCAACGGGAATGAGACGGAGGCGAGGGAGAACCATCTCACTGGCAGAGGCGACGCTGTTTGACACATCGTCCCTGTACCTCCCAAAGCCACTGCCCTCCCACACCTGGGCAACAGTGGCCCCAACCCCAGGCCCAGCCCTCCTGCGGGAAGGAAGAGGACTGAATGGAGGGCGTGGCAGGCTGAAAGGAAGTGGCCTCCTCAAACCCCTTAGTAAACAGCCTCTGGGGTCACCTGGCAGGGAGGGCCTGGCACACCAGGAAGTAGCCTCCTCCTGGGAGCTCAGCCAGAGGTCTCGGCAGCAAGTGGCTGTCCCCAAGTGGCCTCCAGAGCCACCTTTTCAGGAAAATTCCATTCCACCCACCCATTTCCCCCACTGAAGGCCCCGCCTCCTCCTGAGCCTCCTGCCGGCCTCTCACCTAGAAGCAGGGGGTAGTCCTCGGCCTCCAGCCAGGGTGTGCAGACCTGGACGCGCTGGAAACACTTCTGCTGGATGAGGCGGCTGTAATGCTCCCTCAGAGGCCCTTTGCCTTCACAGAGAAGAGCAGACACTGCCATGGACCCATCTCTGTCCCTGTCACATGGCCCCAGGCCCAAGACTCCCCCCAGGAGGGATCCCTTTCCCAGAAGCCCCACCCCTCGGCAGCTCCAGCCAGGCCCCATCCGGGTCCTTCCAGAAGCAACCCAGGAGCCCCAAGCCCTGCAGAGGTGTGCACCCCGACCCCTGAGGCACAGCCCTGCACCTGCAGCCAGCTGCCTCGGGCTGCAAACACAGCGGGGCAAGCACTGGCCTGGCACCTGACCGCCCACTAGATGGACCCAGCCTTTTGTCTATGTTGTGCACAGGGGACACGAGGACTCCCCCTGCCCTGCCAGAGCCCCCAGAGCACATGGCGTGGGTTCCAAGCTACTCCTGGGAGCCTAGAGGCCAGAGGAGGGAGGAGAGCAGGACCAGTAGCTGGCCCAGACCCTGCCTCTTCCCACACCGCTTCTGCTTTTCTCCTTCTTCAGTGAATCACCTCGAAAGTGCTCAGAAGCAGTAACTGTGGGACAGGGGCTCTTCCGTTTGAAAAATTAAAAGAGGCTTGGTTAAGGCACCAATGACGTGGCCAGGCACAGTGGTTCGTGCCTGTAATTCCAGCACTTTGGGAGGCCAAGGTGGGTGGATCACCTGACGTCAAGAGTTCGAGGCCAGGCTGGCCAACATGGTGAAACCCCATCTCTACTAAAAATACAAAAATTAGCCGGGTGTGGTGGAGGGTGCCTGTAATCCCAGCTACTCGGGAGGCTGAGACAAGAGAATTGCTGGAACATGGGAGGTGGAGGTTGCAGTGAGCCGAGATTGCGCCATTGCACTCCAGCCTGGGCGACAGAGACTCTGTCTCAAAAAAAAAAAAGACACCAGTGATGTAACAACAAAGAGATGCTTGAAAACTACTGACAAAGTAAAAGCCTGGTATCTGCAGATTCAAATCTGGGCTCCCTGCCCGGCTATGAAACCCCCTGAGCCTCAGTTTCCCCCATGCCAAGCAGTATAAGACCCTATGGCAGAGAGCTGCAGTGAGGATTAAAGAGACAAGATCATGGGAAGTGCAGGATAAAAGCCGCGTGCCCCTCCCTGTCCGCCATCCCCCAGCCAAACAGACACCCAGGGTCCCGGGCAGTACCTGTTATCACACAGACGAGAGAAGGAAGGTTGTGTCCATCAAGAATCAGTTGTTCAAACTCTGTGTTTAAAAAAAGAAACAAGTCTACATGGAATTTGTGATAGAATTTTTTTTTTTTTTTCTGACACAGTCTCGCTCTGTCACCCAGGCTGGAATGCGGTGGCGCGATCTCAGCTCACTGCAACCTCTGCCTCCAGCGTTCAAGTAATTCTCCTGCGTCAGCCTCCCAAGTAGGTGGGATGACAGGCGCCCGCCACCATACCTGGCTAATTTTTGTATTTTTAGTAGAGACAGGGTTTCGCCATGTTGGCCAGGTTGGTCTCGAACTCCTGACATCAGGTGATCTGCCTGCCTCGGCCTCCCAGAGTTCTAGGATTACAGGTGTGAGCCACCGCGCCCGTTCAGAAAAAAATGTTTAAATAAACAATAGCCAGAGTCAGGCGGAGAAAGGGCACTGCTCTGGCGGGGAGGCCACCAGGCTCTGTGAGACACTCTCCTGGAGGGGGCATATCGGCCTGAGAGCCTGGTCACTCAGTGACCCAGTGGGGATTCATAGCGGCCCACCTCCACCACCCCTGCTGTCCCCAGGCTGCCCCACCCAGTGGACCGGGACAGGAACGTGCTGCAGGCCAGGCAAGCAGCTCACAGCCCAGGGGCCCCCAACAAACCCAGAGCTCCTCACCGCAGCCACACACCTACTTTCTAAAGCTGCCAGCAGGATGGAGAAGTCTTCGTCCTCTACAAGAAGAGAATTGAATGTCAGGGGCCTGTTTCTAGACACCCCTCTTGCAGCTCACATGCCCTCCCCTTCTCACTGAGACCATGGTGGGGCGGGGGCATGCAGGACTGGCAGGGGTGAGGCGAACACAGGTTGGCCAGGTGCCCGTCACACCAACCCCAAGTGCCCCAGGGGTCGTGCAGACCTGTCCAGCTCGTGCTGCTGACCAGCAGGGCCGGCCGCTCGCGGAGACGTGTCACCAGCCCGCTCCCAGCGTCCCGCTCCGTGAAGGCCGACCGCTCCGTGGCTGGGTCCTCAGGTTCTGAGCTGAAGGAGCAGGAAAAAAGCCTGTGAGAGGCCACAGAGCAGGCCCAGGACCCAGGACAGGCATCTCCTGCTGTGGTGAGGCCTGCAGGCTCCGAAAGGTTGGGGTGCCCAGCCGTATCAGCAGTACCAGGCCACCCCTGCCATCTGAGGCCTGGGCTTGCTTTCTCTAATATTGTTGCTGGGTGCTAAGGTTACAACAGCAAACAAGACTGACTCATTCCTTTTCCCCACGGGACTTACTGTCTTATCATCCCCTGGACTCAAGATGAGGGTGCTGGGGTGCCCTCCCACACCACCCCGGCTTACCCAGGGCACACCTCAGGGTGTGTGGACCTGCACAAAGATTCCCTCCTCAGCCCCATGAGACACCCCAGGGAACACACAGGTCCACAGATCCTGCCACAGACCTGGGAACCCACTGGCAGGAGAGTAAGACAGCGCAGGGGTCCACAAACATTTCTTAAAGGGCCAGAAAGTAAATACTTCAGGCTTTGTGGGCCACAGGTTCTCTGTTCTGCTGTTGTAGTTCAAAGGTGGCTGTAGACAACTCAGAAGGGAATGAGTGTGCTGTGTCCCAGTGAAACTTGATTTACAAAAGCAGGAGACTGGCCTGTAGCCTTAGTTTGCCAACCCCTGGATGAGTGGGTTCCCAGGTCTTCAGTGAGAAGGGGAGAGCCCAGGGCAGTGGCAAGCAGGAGAGAAGGCAGCTGAGGATGGGAGACCTACCGGGCCCTGAAGGGAGAGTGCATGCCGCCCAGCTTCATGAAGAGCCGGTGCTGCAGATCCAGAGGTGTCTCTTTAAAGAAAGATGCCGGCTTGTCGTAGACAGTCACAGCCCTGCAATGAAATCATGGCGGGGCTATTGGGAGGGCTGCAGAAAGGCCTCAGGAATAGAGGACTCACAGGCTCCAGGAAAAGAAGGCGGCTTGGGGAATCCAAGTCTCAGACGATGACAAGAAGCCTTGCAATGACTTGGGAATACACAGAGATATCCTAGGACCAAAACTGCCCGGACCCCCTGGCTGGCTGGGAAAGAAACTCTGCCCCTTCCTCCCCCGGCTTCCTCAAACCAGGGACCACCTCCCAGGACCTCAGTATTTCAAACTGCCTCGCCAGCACGGCCGCAGCAGGCAAGGCAGCTCTCACTGCAGCCAATCAGGGGCCCTGTGCCTCTCCCAGGCCGCCGTGGTCCCAGGCCTTGGTACCTGATGCGCCAGTTCTCCGCCAGGTCTTCCCGCATGGCATTAGTAACGCACAGGTTCAGGTGGGACAGGCGCCCAAAGAACCTCTCGTACCTGAAAAGAGGGATAAGCAGTCAGCAGAGCCATTGACAGGCCTCCGCTACCACCACCACGTGACTGACATCCCTCAACAGAGAAAAGGCCACAGAGCTGGGAGAGTCTGTACTCCCTGAGTCCCACCTGTGCCAGTGCTCTTTCTTTATGCTGTATACACCTTTCTTTATGTTGTGTCATTTGTTGGCTTAAATACAATCACTTTGAAAGGAAACTGAGCTCCAGCCTGGGCAGCAGAGCGAGAGTCTGCCTCAAATAAATACATACAAATTGAAAAAATCAATAAAAGGACACTGTGTATCACTGCCAAAGTGGACATCCTCTCTCTTGCTGTAAAAGGCCTCACTAGTGGATCTCAGCCACCTGTGCCACCACTGCAAAGGCTGTAAGGCTACGGCTTGCTCTCAACGTGGAGCAAAGGGATTCAGTGAACGCTGTACATGTTCTCTCCTGATGGAGACTGAGCCCTGATCGCAGGGGAGAGCCGGAACAGGGCATGAGTGATATCGCCGCCAGGGTATCATGGCCTGTTCCTCTCTCAAGATGCGGAGAAAGCTCGGAAATGAGGTTGCCTGGGATGACATTTTGGTCCTCACACTTAGCTGTGTGGCAGGACGTGTAATCGTTCTCAGCCTCAGTTTCCTAACTTGTAAAAGGTACACCCTCCTAAGGTGCATGGAGATTGAACGAGGTAAAATACAAAAAGGTCTTGGCCGGAGGATTGGCATGCAGCAGGCGCTCACCATGAAGCATTTTGCTCAGTTTGCTCAGTTGAGCTGTTTGCTGCTGCTGTCACCACTGCCAGTGAACAAACTCATCAGGGCAAATGTCACAGCCAGCCAGTGGCCCAAGGCTGGAAGTACACACAGAGGCTGGACATGCACAGAGGCTGGATGTGCACATGAAGGCTGGCTGTGCAGAGTATAACAGACATGTTATAGTCAGGCTCAGGGTACAGCAGACAACCTTCCCAGCTCCACGTCCCACCGCTACCACTGGCCCTTCTTCCCTCCCTGTCTCATCAGCTACAGCAACTGTGGCCCACTTCTCCAGCTCCCAACAGCAGCCCTGGGTTTCAATTTGGGAATCTGCCCTCACACACCCTCTGTCCATGGGATATGGATGCTCCTGAGACCCAGCTCTTCTACTGGAGCACTTGCCCCCTGGCCTCAATAGGCAGATCAGAGGAAGGCAGGTAACCGACATGAGCCAATCAGAGAGGGCTGCCCTCCCCACTGAGCCTAGGTGGGGACGAGAGCTAGGAGAGCTCCGGGAACCACCACCAGAAGGGAGTGTGGACACAGACATGAGCTGGGTCCCAGGGACACTGCTGAGCTCGAAACCAACCCTTTCCCCAGACACTTCCATTTCATGGGCCAAAAAATGTGGTCCTTTGCTGAGGCCTGTTTCTATCACCTGGAACCAGCATTTGGCCTGATTCACCAGCCTCACCCCGCCTCCTGCAGGGCACACAAGGAACCAGCTTCCGGAGGCCCACAATGGCCTTTCTTCTCACTCATCCTTGAGTGGTTTGGGGGACGGTATTTTACCCTCTTCCCAGACTCTCACCACTTGGCCAGCAGAACGAGGGGGTGGTTGGGGCCATGCACCAGACCCATGATGGAGTAGCCATAGTTGTGCCAGTCAATGACGAGCTTGCTTCCACAGAGGCAGCCCACGAACCAGCAGACAGCAATGCTCGGCAGACCTGGGGGGTTCTAGGAAAGATAAGAGACTTGAAGAGGAGGAAACCCAAACCATGCTCGGCAATAAACCAAGTAAAAATAGTCACAACACACACGGTGATGAGTCTATTACCTTTACAGCGCTCTTGATAATAAGCAGGAGAAAGACCCTCCCACCACCAAAATAGGTGTAAAAAGTCATAAAAGAAACAATGGGCCAGGTGCGGTGGCTGATGCCTGTAATCCCAACACTTTGGGAGGCCCAGGCATGAGGATCATTTGAGCCCAGGAGTTCAAGACCGGCCTAGGAAACACAGTGAGACCTCATCTCTACAAAAAATTTAAAAATTAGCCAGGTGTGGTGGGACACGCCTGTAGCCCCAACTACTCAGGAGGCTGAGGAGGTAGGATCACTTGAACTCAGGAGGATGAGGCTACAGTTAAGCTATGATTGTGCCACGGAACTCCAGCCTGGGTGACAGAGCTAGACTCTGTCTCTAAAACAAACAAACAAACAAACAAAACAAAACAAACAGAACCAACCTGAAAAGTCCAAGACCATCAATAATTAAGGAGGCAAAAAACAGAACAAAGAGATGGCATTTTTCACCTGTCAGAATGCAAATTCTAAAAAAGTCTAACGACAGCTGGTGATGGTAAGCATGGGGGAGAAGAGGCACCTCCACTCAGCAGTGGCCAAACTGGCCCAACCTTACTCTAAAGCTATCCAGTAACATACACATCTTTAAAATGCATCAACTTTGACTACACAATTCCATTACTAGGAATTTATCCTAAGAAAGAAACTGGACTTACGCAAAAGGCATACACTCACTGTGCTTGGAGCTGCACTATTTGTAAAAGTAAAAACAAAATCAGGAAGAATCTGAGTATCCATTAACATGAGACTAAATACATGTAGTATGGTACATCACATATTGGAATTCAAGGCTGCCTGTTAAAAGAGGAAGGTGTGGAGCACAGTGGCTCATGCCTGTAATTCCAGCACTCTGGGAGGCTGAGGCAGGTGGACCACCTGAGGTCAGGAGTTCAAGACCATCCTGGCCAACACAGCGAAAACCCATCTCTACTAAAAAAAAAAATTACAAAAACTAGCCAGGCATGGTGGTACGTGCCTGTAATCCCAGCTACTCAGGAAGCTGAGGCAGGAGAATCACTTGAACACGGGAGGGTGCAGTGAGCCAAAATCGCACTACTGCACTACAGCCTGGGTAACAGAGAGACTCCATCTCAGGAAAAATATGATAAAAATAAAAAAATAAAATAAAATAAAAATAAATAAATAAAAGAGGAAGGTGCTTCTATATGTTAAAAATGGATTTGAAAAAAGAAAAAAAAAGGTATTCTTCAGCTAGAAAAGAAAGAAAAATTTTTTAAAGAAAAAAAGTGATCAAGGGAAGAGGTTAAAAGTATAACAAGAGGCCAGGCACAGTGGCTCACGCCTGTAATCCCAGCACTTTGGGAGGCCAAGGCGGGCGGATCACCTGAGGTCAGGAGTTCAAGATCAGCCTGGCCAACATGGCGACACTCCATCTCTACTAAAAATACAAAAATTAGCTGGGCATGGTAGTGGACACCTGTAATCCCAGCTACTCAGGAGGCTGAGGCGGGAGAATAGCTTGAACCCAGGAGGCAGAGGTTGCAGTAAGCCAAGATCACACCATTGCACTCCAGCCTGGGCGACAAGAGCGAAACTCTGTCTCAAAAAATATATGTGTGTGTGTGTGTATACATATATGTGTGTGTATATATATATATATACTACAGAACCAGACTGACTACCTACGTTCAAATCCCCTGATTCCACCACTTCCTAGCTGTATGGTGATGGCCTACTTACAGAGCCTTTCTGGGTCTAGGTTTTCTCATCTAAATGAGAACAACCTTAAGAAACAGGTTCTTATATTACCTAAATGTAATACTTCTTAGGGTTACTGTGAGGACTAAATGAATTAACACATGGAAAACACTTAGATACACAGTCAGTACAATGTAAGACTGTAATGACACAGCATGGACAGGTGCCATAAATAGACACATACCATAGGCTCCTATTCATGTCTTTAAACGCCTATATACACAACACACACACACACATATGAATATGCAATTTATTACCAATTTGTGCATGTTTAAAGACTCACATCTTTAAACTTTTATACACACAACACACACACGTGAATATGCAATATATTACTAATTTGTGCTGGAAAATAAACTGTTAACACGGTTCTCACAGAGGGAGGCAGAGGCTGATACACACCTGGAGAAAGATATAGTCACCTGGCTCCCTCCACATCAACTTCCACAGCAAGTACATAGCCTGAAATACAACTTTGACTCCGTACTGGAAAACTCGGGGCCCAACTGCAAGTCAGAAAACACCTGTGACTACCAAAGGAGCGACTGGCAATCTGCAAGGCTTTTCAAACACACACCCCTTGCCCCCAGCCCACAGATTCAGAGGATTCTGGAGTTGACTGCATCCTACCTGCAAGACTCTGAAGTTCTGTCAACCCCACGATCTGAATTCTGTTGTTCTGCAGGAGCTCATCATGGGGTTTGGAGTCTGAAAATGAGAATGATCCCTTTAATGTACCAGAAGCAGCAATCTAAAGTCAGATAATCTCCCAACTCAGGCTGAATCACGCACGAAGAGTGTTTTGGAAAGTAAAATATTTCAAAACCTCTCTCTGTTCCTCACTAGCCAGAACAGAGAATGCGGCCAATTCTTGTTCAGATTCCTCTAGATAGCCCACAGAGGGAGGGCCTGAATCTTACCTACCTTCACTTAACACGATGCCTGGCAAACAGTACGTGCTCAATTAAACTAATCTAGATTCTCTGGATAGTGGAATTTTCCCACCACAGAGCCATCCCTGGAAGTCCCACTCTACCCCATCACCCTAGCAGACTCTAAACAGGGATTAAAGGCAACTAGTGCTGTTCCCACTTCTCCCTGAGATGGGGTTGAGCTACCCTCTCAAGATACCAACGTGGAGAATAATGTAGGAGCAGACACCGCTGCCCTGCACACTGTGGGTAAAAGATGGACATGAAGAACAAATGAAACATTTGTCTGCAGAGCTCTGCGTTGAGGGATGAGGAATGAGATATCCTGTCAACTCAGACATAGCTTGACAAGAGTAGCTGCACACAGACGTAGCTACCAGCACTAGCCCTGGAGTCCCACGCACCTGGGTTTCACTTACTAGGAGAATTACGTGAGACCACGCAATGGATTCACTTAACACATTTCTGACACGTGGCAAGATTAACGCCGGCTATACCTAGTGATCCACCCAGAAAAGGCTGGGCATAACCCGCTCCTCCAATCTCGGAGAGCTGCCCAAAGGCGGCGACAAAAGCACTTCCGCCTCGACTCCCCAGGGCGGTTGGAACCGAGGATCAAAGAATGACAGAGCATCCTCCCTCCCAGACCCTTGGCCACTCACTGCAGAACCCCAGGAGGGTCACCGAGAAGCCGTGCATGGCCAAAGACAGCGCGTGGTACTGCATACGGGGGCTGCGGCCCACGTCGCCCAGCACCACGGCTACTACATGCCGGGCCGCCTGCCTCCGCCGCCAGCGCTTCCATCCTCCCAGCAGCAGCAGCGGCAACAGCAGACACAGCGCCAGGAAGACCAACCAGGACGCCGCCATCTTGGCGGGCCCGCAACAGTCACGTGACCGCGCTTCCGCGCGCTGTGCGCAGCCGCAGACCGAGCCTCCGAAGTGGGCCGAGAGAGGGCGAAATAGGGACGCGGTTCCCTCAGAGGGGGCCAGGGAACCCCCAGGAGCCCCTGGGGCCAAGATTTATTAGTTGTAGTACACACGCACATACACCAGATTCCCTACACAGCAGTGTATTTCCCCGACTAAAGTAAAGCTATTACTGTATTGGGACATATGGATAAGTCACTCAATCTCCCTTGGAGCCTCAGATTTTGTTCAGGATGGTTGGCTCCCGCTTGAGGGGTTGTCAAGGATTAGCAGAAGTAATGACAATGACAAGCTTCCCCTGGAACCTGGGTTCCCAGTGGTGCTCCCAAGGGGGCAAAAATGGTTCTTGGGGAGCAAAACATCCTTACCCTTTTTATGTATAAAGCACAGATATCGATACAATACACAAGCCTGCAGTATACCTGCAGTATTGAAATTTCATGAACACTGAAAGCAGTGGCTCACGCCTGTAATCCCAGCACTTTGGGAAGCTGAGGCAGAAGGATCACTTGAGCTCAGGAGTTCAAGACCAGCCTGGGCACCATAGTGAAAGCCCATCTCTACAAAGAATACCAAAAAAAAATGGTGGCGGCGTGTGCCTGTAGTCCCAGCTACCCGCGAGACTGAACTGGGAGGATCACCGGAGCCCAGGGAGGTCGAGGCTGCAGTGAACTATGATCACACCACTGCACTCCAGCCTAAGTGACAAAGTGAGACCCTGTCTCAAAAAAATAAATAAGTAAAATAAAATTTCATGGGACAGTACATGAGGAACCCTCATCTTCGGCCATTGGGCATGTAACTGGCCCAGCCACTGTGGAAATCAGTTGGTGGTCCCTCATTAGGTTCAACATAGAATTACCACATGACCCAGCAATGGCATTCCCAGGTGTACACCCAGGAGAATGAAAAACAGTTTCCAAACAAAAACTTATAAACAAATATCAGCACTGTCCACAAGAATCAAATCGTGGAAACAACCCAAAGGCTCATCAGCAGATGAGTGATGAATGGAGTGCGGTCTGGCCACAGCTCCCGCAGCCTCCCACCTGAGGTTTCCCAGGTGTCTCCTTTTTTGTTTGTTTGTTTGTTTGTTTGTTTGTTTGTTTTGAGATGGAGTCTCACTCTGTTGCCCAGGCTGGAGTGCAGGGGTGCAGTGTCAGCTCACTGCAACCTCTGCCTCCCAGGTTCAAGTGATTCTCTTGCCTCAGCCTCCCAAGTAGCTGGGATTGCAGTTGCGTGCCAACGCGCCCAGCTAATTTTTGTATTTTTAGTAGAGACGGGGTTTCACCATGTTGGCCAGGCTGGTCTTGAACTCCTGACCTAAAGTGATCTGCCCGCCTCGGCCTCTCAAAGTGCTGGGATTACAGACGTAAGCCACCACACCTGGCCTAGCTGTCTACTTTTGGTTTGTCATCTCCATAGTCCTCATCCTCTTAGCTCATCAGAGCAGGAGGGGCTTCCCTAGGGGGTGATGTTACTCATCCATAAAAAAGAATAAAGTACTGACATGTGCTGCAACACAGATGAGCCTTGAAAACATCACGCTGAGTGAGAGAAGCCAGACACAAAAGGCCACTCACTGTATGATTCCATTTATATGAAATATCCACAATAGGTCAAACCATAGACACAGAAAGTTGATTCATGGTTGCCAGGGGCTGTGGAGGGGGGAATAGGGAGTTTCTGCGAATGGGTGTGGGATTTCTTTTCCAGGTGGCAAAAACATTCTGGAGGTAGACAGCGATGGCTGCACAACTTTGTGAATATACTGAAAACCACTGTGAAACTGTACACATTTAAAAGGTGAATTTTATGGTACGTGAATAGTATCTCAATAAGCCTCTTATTAAAGATTTTTCAGGATTAAAATGTCTAAAAACACTCCAGGGGTAGAAAAAAGAGCAATGATGACATGAAAAGGTGGAGAAACCCTAACCTAGCACCTGCACACAGGGAGCAACAAATACACACTTTAGTGGTGTTCTTTTCATTATTATTACAGATCTATAATCTCTTAACTGAAGCCCTTGGGACCAAGTATGTTTCTGAATTCAAAATTGTTTGGCTTTTAGAAAGATAATGTGGTGTGCATACATATAACATCCCCAGCAAGGGTTGGTACAGCACCCAGGAAACCAACATGAAAACTTCTGCAAGGAAATAGATGCACGTTCACACTGAGTGAAATAAATAAGGACGCTAGGTCCTCTCTCTCTGCTGTGGTTTGAGTGTGTGCCCTAAAGTTCGTATGTTGGAACCTTCATTCTCCATGCAACAGTGTTGAGAGATGGAATCTTTCCTGAGGCCTCTGCCCTCATGAATGGATTCATGCTGTTATTGCAAAAGCATGTTCCTGATAAAGGAATGAGTTTAGCTTCTTTCTCTTCTCTCTCTCTAGCTCTCTTGCCCTTCTGCCCTCCACAGTGGGATGATACAGCAAGAAGACCCCCACCAGATGCAGCCCCTTGAACTGGACTTCCCAGCCTCCAGAACTATGAGCCAAATGAATTTCTTTTCTTTATAAATTCCTCAGTCTCAGGTATTCTGTTGTAGTAGCACAAAACTAAGACACTGCCCAGTATACCAGCTACATGTGACTATCAAGCCCTTGAAATGTGGATAGTCTGAAATGAAATATGCTCAGCCTGGCATGGTGGCTTACACCTGTAGTGCCAGCTACTTGGGAGGCTAAAGCAGGAGGGTCCCCTTGAGCCCAGGAGCTTGAGACCGCATTGAACTATGACCATGCCACTGCACTCCAGCTTGGGCAACAGAGTGAGACCCTGTCTCTTAATAATAAAATAATAAAGGCCGGCGCCTGTAATCCCAGCACTTTGGGAGGCCAAGGCAGGTGGATCACGAGGTCAGGAGATCAAGACCATCCAGGCTAACACAGTGAAACCCCATCTCTACTAAAAATACAAAAAATTAGCCGGGGGTGGTAGCGGGCGCCTGTAGTCTCAGCTACTCGGGAGGCTGAGGCAGGAAAATGGCGTGAACCCGGGAGACGGAGCTTGCAGTGAGCCGAGATCACGCCACTGCCCTCCAGCCTGGGCGACAGAGCAAGACTCCATCCCAAAAATAAATAAATAAAATTAAAAATAAAATAATAAAATAATAGTGTTGTGAACGTAAACTACTCATCAATTTCAAAGACTTAGTATGAGAAAAATAAAAATAAATCATTTCTATATTAATTACACATGTAATTATAATATTTTAAATCTTGGGTCAAATAAACTAGATCGTTAAAATTAACTTCGCCCGCTTATTGCCGCTCTCTTGGATGTGGCCACTAGGAAATGTTGAAATGCACACATGGCTCTCCTTTGTAGCTCCAATTCTATTTCAGTTGCACGGTGCCCCTCTAAGGAAGTTTGCCTCAGCTCAAGGCAGATGTGCCCTCAAATGAGTTTGTTTCAAATTGATTTAAAACAAAGACTAGGTGTGGTGGCTCATGCCTGTAATCCCAGCACTTTGGGAGCCCGAGGAGGGTGGATCACTTGAGCCCACGAGTTCAAGACCAACCTGAGCAACATAGTGAGACCCTGTCTCTATAAAAAAATTTAAAAATTAGCCAACCATGGTGGCACATGCCTCTAGTCCCAGCTATTCAGGAGGCTAAGACAAGAGGATCTATTGAGCCCAAGAGGTCAAGGCTGCAGTGAGCTGTGATCAAACCACTGCACTCCAGCCTGGGCAAGAGAATGAGACCCTATTTCAAAAAACAAAGAAAGAAAAAAAATGTTTGTTTTTTGCTTTCAGAGCCTTTGGATTTCTGGGTTGAATTGCAATTGCTAGATCAAAGATGTAGCCTGTGGGTCTGGAGAATCAGGGCCAAGAAGGACAGGGCGGGCACCCCTCTCCCCAGCACCCCGCGGGCAGCAGGCTCTACGCCCAGGACTGCTCTAACCTCTGCTGCCTCGCGGTCATCCCCCTGCAGCCACCCTTCCCAGAGTCCTTTGCCCAGGCCACCCCAGGCTTTTTGGCAGCCCTGCCAGGCCACTTGTCTTCAGGTCTGCCAGGGGGAGGTGGGGAGGAGGTAGGAGGAGGGCGTGCAGAGGCGGCCTCGGCTGGGCCAGAGCTCAGGGTGCTGAGCGTGTGACCAGCTGTGAGCAGAGGCCAGCCATGGCCAGCCTGGGGCTGCTGCTCCTGCTCTTACTGACGGCACTGCCACCGCTGGGGTGCTACTCGCTGCCTGGGCTAGACACTGCCCAAAGTAAAGCCACCATTGCGGACCCGATCCTGTCTGCGCTGGAGAGAGCCACCATCTTCTTAGAACAGAGGCTGCCCGAAATCAACCTGGATGGCATGGTGGGGGTCCGGGTGCTGGAGGGTAAGTGAGCCCCAGTTCCCCTGGCTGGACACTGGGAAGCTAGCTCTCAGCTTTGTCCTCTGCCCTGCTCTGTACACCTGGGACCTGGCAGCCTCCTGGCCCCAGAATAGCCTGCCTCAGCTATAAGGAGAGAGGAGGCCAGGGGCTGGCTCTTCCTGGGGGCTGTGGCCCAGCTAAGTATTACCAATTTTCTAGAAGTAGGAAAGATTTAAAGGCAACATGGGAAGGGATTTGGGAATTATCTTTTTCTCAGAATGAAATGATCCATTTGACAGCCCCTCCTGACTCACCACGAACAAGGGGAGCAGGGAGAGTGCTCCGCGAACAGATATTTGTGGGAGGGCCCCTCCCCTTGAGGGAGGTGGCTGTGGACAAAACTCGGGACCCTCAAGATCCGGTTCCAACCCCGCTTCCTCCACTTCCAGCCAAAGTCTCCTGAAGGTTCTGCAAGAACAGTCAAGTGTTTGTTTAGCTTTGAGAGCTATAAGATCCCCAAGAAGGGGGCTGGAGACAGGCCAAGGCAAACACACACACACTCATCATGCACACTCACGCAAGCATGCATGCACGCACGCACACACACATCACACACACAAGCACGCATGCACATCACACACACACAAGCATGCATGCACG